GTGAACCTCGAACCCTAAATCCTAAACCCTGGCTCGAGCTCAAGCTTTCGACTCAAGCCGCTGAGGCTTAGCTCTTTGCTTTCTTGCCAAGCACATTTCGTCGTCGATCTCGCCATGGCGCGCTCAACCTTCGTGGTGGCAGTGGTGATGCTGATGCTTCCAGCAACGGCACGCCGGAACAAGGATGACCTCTTCACCATGGAAGCCGGGAATTCAGAAGCTCGCGATCTACAGGCGGAGTTGGAGTCGTGGCTCAGCGACAGGTGGGGCGTGGGGCTGAGCACATCGGATGCTCAGTGGTGGGCCAGGAAGGAGTCGTGGTACATGGAGACTTGCGGCGCCACGCTTCCGTATCTCAAGAAGCTCTACTCGGTGCTCAACGACCGCTTCAAGATGGCCTACTCCTCGAGCAAAGCCGTGGAGTTGATGTTCGCTTACGCGAAGAAGCAGTTTGATCCAGACCAGCTCTTCGCAATGTACAGCGTTCTCGTGGACCGCTTCGCGCTCGGGCTTAGCCAGGAGGAGGCCCGCTCGCGAGCTCCTGAGCTTCTCGAGAAGGATGCAGCCTCCGCGGAGCTCGGCTCTCTCTACAGCTACATGGTCGATCGCTTCGGGGCGATGCGGCTTCCGCAGAAGGACGCCCAGAAGATGGCCATGGAGCTGGCTGCTGCCGGCTGTGAACCTATCATGTTGAAGAAGTTCGCCACTGAGCCGTATCCTGACAAGCAGAGGGCCGCCGATGAGGCAGTCATGGCCTCCTTCGACATGCAAGCCTATCGCTATGCGGAGGATGGCAAATACTACACGGCTTCCCAGTTCAAGAACTGGTTTGGGTCCAACTGGATGGCGAAGTGGATGGCAAGCCCAGTGGCACAGAAGGTGGCGGAAGATGGCAAGGCGTACTCTGCTTCGCAGTTCCGTGCGTTCTTCGGGGTCCGAGATTGGTTGTCCAAGTGGAATGCAGCGACGTGGGCAACGCAAAGGCGCATTGCAGAGGATGGAAAGGTCTACACCTTGGACGAGTTTGTCAGCTACTTCGGCCAGTCCCAGTGGCAGCAGAAGTGGGCCAAGGCACCCGTGGCACT